AAGTTGCCGTCAGGCACTAATATGTATAAATATACACACTCATATGTATATGCTTAGTGAAAATGTGTGAAGTTTTCGTTTATCCTATTTGTGAACCAAGTGAGTTCAACCGTAAAAGAGCTTTATAGATTCGGCACCTTCTGAGGAATTTCCGGCCCCCATATCACACCATCCCGAACATGGTCCTTCGAGCCGGATCGGCTTGAAGTTTTTCCATGGTGAACCACAATTTTAAGAGAAATAAATATTTTTTCAAAAACTGACCTTGAGACTTGATTGTTGTTAGTGCAGCGCTAAAATAATTGTGAACTGGCGAGGTTTATATACAAAAGGAAGTGTTGATTCGGTAAGCTGTTAAATTATATGGGGTAATAAAATTCGTTTCCCTTGTGAATCATATGTTTAAAGTCCATTTACTAACCCTTTAAATGTATGTACATATTTGTATTGCGGCTAGGGAGGTTCCGATACAAGTAAACACAGTATACCAGTAGAAAAGGTTTTTGTTTTTGTAGCTGTTTCGTGGTGAAAGTCCTTTATGGGGACCAAATTTCCCCACAAGAAATTGAGCGCATGGTTGCTTTTGCGACCCAAAAGACTGAATATTAGAAAACATTTAAAAAAAAGTCTAAGGTAATACAATTATATGCAACTAAAAATAATCACAATAATTTGCACTTATGAGTTAATGTGATAATCATGTGTAAAAACTCTTTTCAACTATTATTTTTCACAAAATAATTTTTCGGATCAGTTTGCTCTGAGCGCTTGGTTTGTTTACCAAGAAAATGCAGCCCTGTTGGTTTTTATTTCTGTATAGCATCGCGGTGAGTTTCTATTTCTTAGTAATTCGGTTTGTGAAACGGTAAACAATTTATTGAAATTTATTTATTTGATGTGTATAAGATTTCATTAATGCATTTTTTTGTATTTTCAGACTATTAATTACAAGCACAGCATCATCAACGGTGATTGCAAGAACTACTGCAATCCCTGCGGTTTTTCCTCTTGGTAAATGCGTTCTGGTAGTGACCAAGGGTGGTCTCCCAAATCGGCCGGATATAAGGTTAGTCATTTTAAATTTTATATCTTTGTTCGTCGACATTATATGACATGTCATCATTGCAGGCTGTTGTTGCAGAACAAAACGCCGCAACCACTGCTGTGGTAAATATGTTCCAGCAGAGCTGCCCACCGCCGTCGGTGTAATGATTTCGATAGCTGAACAAACGCCATCTCCTGGGCATTCCCACAGCTTGCCGACACTAGCTATTATACGTGTGAATGCAACTGCGGCTTAATTTGGTTATTAAGTATATAGTACCATGTCATTGGCAAAAACACTAAGGGCTGCTGGAAAATATAGGTTGTAAAGTTTTTGGTATCGATGAACTTACTCGAAGAAGACGATGGCCGAAAACATATGATGAAACATCTTCTGGCATGCCTTAGACAATCGTTAAGTCAGACGGAGACTTCACATACGATATTTCACACATGGCTGGAATTCGTGCGCGGACAGAGCACACATTTAAAAAATATTTATCGTTCAGCAGAACGTGCATGCATATTCGATTCCGATTTTATGGCTGGCCAGTGGCTGAAATGGTATTACGATGGCAACTAGCAACTGAAAGCTGGCAACTAAGTTGCTATATTGGCAAGTGCGTTTTTGTGGCTGCCGGGAATTTTTGATTGAGATACTTTATTTCTTTTTTAAACTTTTTTTTTTAAATTGTACCACCTTGAAATTTATGAAACTTAATTATTGCTATTCATAATAAAAAACCTTTTCATTTCAGTGGCGCTGCCCATCGGCAACCCAACTGAGGTTCCGTTCCCATCCATAATCGATCCATAAGTCATAATCGCACGAACTAATCAAGGCTATCATAGAATCCATCGTAGTCCGATTTTTCGTGAAATCTACGGAAATGCTATTAAGGTCCAATAGCTACGAACGCAGCGCTTGCTTTGAATACACACGTTCATAGCAGTTCAGATTCAGTGATCGATTTTTCATAGATTTTAAGAAAAATTGGACTACGATGGATTCCGCCACCAATATGTTTTCTCCTTTGACAAGATGTTGGAGAATCGCGGCAGCACAGCCGTATACTTACTCTATGCTATACGCGCATATGCTAAATTTCTCTCACCTAGCTAAAGTGCTTGACAAAGGCAGAAGGCATATCTTCAACATTATAACTTAAAGTAAAAAAGTTTAAGGCATGCATAAAAGAATCAACAGAACCAAAAAATGTCCTCAAAACTATTAAACATAAAAAATTGCACGAATAAAATTCATAATTTAAAATAAAATATCGCAACTGTTTTTTATATGTACATACATATTTACAAGATGAATCTTAACCACCCACAGTAAGTCCTAAATAAGTAAGAAATCTCTAAATAGTAGCGAAACTGTATCTCAACAAATAATTTTTAGCAAAAAATACAACCGATTTCAATGCGCATTCAGGTCGTTCTGGTTACGTAGATCCGATGTCCTCCCTTTTTTTAAATCGTTAAAAAAAAAATTAATACGTATTCTACAGAAAAATATCAAGATACATATTTAAGGATTTTAAGCAAAAATAAATAAAGGAAAACTTGTTCGTGATATCTCGACTAAGGTGTATTCATGATACAAAAATCTGAATGTAAAACCGTTGAAAGGCAGCCTGAACATTTTTAAAGTTTGGTAACATTACAAAAATGTTTTCAAATTTCCAATCTCACAAATACATTCTCATTATCAGTCTCAAATAAATGAAAATTTCAATATTTTCATCTATTTGTTTTTTGTTTTACCTTTATTTGGCATTTGAGTTGCTCTCAAAATTTCAATTTTATAAAATAGACAAACTTCAAAAAGTAAATGATGGCCGACGAATTGTGCAAGCGGTTTTACCTTTAAATATTTGTATCATGGGTGTATTAAACAAGGGGCCGTATGCATTAAACCCAAGCAAATGATTTTTCTTAAAATTTCAGACCTTTCACTCAATTTTTTCAAATAAATTTAAGTGAAAGGTATGAAAATCTGAGAAAAAGTAACTGCTTAGTTTTTATGCATACGCCCCAAGGTGTTATTGACAACTCAGTGCGGCTCTTTTAAGATACTATTATGTAAAAAAATATAAACAAGCGTTTCAAAATTCATACAAATTTTTTTCAATTTGACTTTATAGGATGGTTCTTCTGAGAGCAATGTCAAATTCAATCACACTTTGTTAAATACATTTTGATCTCTACCAAATAATGTACTTCCTCTGTAAATATTTTATG